CAGCAACAGCAACAGCAACAGCGAAAATTTTTGTTCTGTGTAATGTCCAAAAAGGTACGACTAAAAACCGATGCGATGATGGGCCGAACTCCGCTCTCGTCTTTTCTCTCTCTCTTATCGCCACCCCCTTAAAACCTAAACTCGTTATCAAACGAGGGACTACTGGCTGATCAACTACGAAATATAACCAAACACAGCCACCACACACATACACCACATACAACCAGCGTCACCAGCAACCACCACCATCACCATCACCATCACCATCACCAAACAAAACAATTATTGCCTTGATTGAGAGAACAATACGATCAGTATTTTCAGCCATTCCTTCCTTCCATCTTCCTTTCTTTTTTTTTTTAATTCCTTCCCTCCCTGTCTCCCAAAAAATAAAAAATAAAAAGAAAAAAGAAAAAGAAAAAAAAGAAAAAATAGAGAAGAATTTGTTATCATTTTGCGCATTCTTCCAACCAGCCATTATATTAGAATGATACACAACTTTACTGAAACCAGTCAATATTTTTGATTACTTTTTGGCTCCCCTCCCCCCTCCCCATCTTCCCCGACCGTTAAAGAGGACGTCCGTCCTCTATGAGCGTACTCCAGAGAAATGAAAAGAAACAGAAGAAAAAAGACAGAACAACCAAAAAATGGTTTTCTAACTGGTAAACCTTTCCGTAAACTTTTTTCCCCTCTTTCCCTCTTTCTTTCAATTTACACTTATTCGTCTATATTTTGTCTTTTTTTTAAAAAAATTTTTTTGAAAAAGGTGTACCTCGTTATTGTAAAAAAATTTTCTTTCCTTTCTCATACCCTGCCATCATCCTTAGCAAAAACCCTTCAATAAACCATTGTTAAATTACAGTGTTCCTTACCTATGTTTTCTCCATACGACATTCCAAGCAACTTTTTATCCATACTTCTCCTCCCCACTTTTGTCGTCGAATTCTCCAATGATGACAGATGACCCAAAAAAATTTAAGAAAAGCTATTCACAGCTGAAACAAAAAGCTATTGAAAAAAAAAAGAAAAAACATAGGAAACGTATCTTAGCAAGGCTGTGTGATTGCCTGTTTATCAAGATTGACGATCCCCGTTCCCCTCCCGTTGCCTTCCCTCCACAACCAACCACCAAACTGTTAAAGTTGCGCAAAACTGCTGGTATTTTCATGTGCTTATTTGAGTGTATTTATGTGTGTTTGTGTATTTGTGATGATGATGATGAGGCGATGTTTGGCTAGTAGACCATTCCGTAAATCCATACTGTTTACTTGCTGGGTAACCGGAAAAGAAAGACGACTCTTAGGTGGGAACAGGGAAGAAAAGCAACGAAAGAAAAAAACAAAGGAAAACGGCGAGAAAGAAGAATTACAAACTACTTCTTCTTATCAAAAATCCTGATTTCCCTCAACAACCCCAACGAAAACGACTACCAAATACCAACCAGTAATAGCCTATTCAACTATATCCTCAAGTCTTTTCCCATTTTGTCTGTTTTTATTGGTGCTCTAAAAGCCATATCGGCAGGGGTTGCACCGTTAGAAACAATAACAACG